TCAGAGGTGAGCAACATCGGTCCTGAATCAAGTAGCAGCATGACAAAAGTGAGGGAAGCAAGACAGCTCCCCAATTGTGGTTTCAGCACAGTGCTTGGCACAGAGCATGAAACACGTAATGAACAAGCATCCTGCTGCTTTTACTCTCTCCCTCTCCCAGTCCCAGGCACAGAAGTGGCCTGGCTCCATGCAGAGCTGGAGGCTGCTTTGATTTCTGTTGATTGACACTGGCCCTCAGGGTTGGCCAAGCTCGCAGGGGGCCGTGAGCACACTTTGTTTCTGGGCTCAGTATCAGCATTTCTCATGAGGCAGGATGTGCCGACAGAGGTAGAAGGCTACTGTTTTACTGGTGCTGTGAAACTCACCGACCTCCAGCAAAGACAGACCTCCTTGGTGCACAGGCAGATGTGCACATGGCCATTCCAGGTGAGGAGTCTCTGCTTTCCCCTGGAAACTGATTTACATATATGACTTCTCCTATTTTTGTGAGTTGGAAAGCAAGTGGGTGCTGTCTAGCCAGACACAGCCAGGTTCACAGGATGATGTTTGAAAACAAGGGAACCCAGCCCTCCCTGCAGGCAGACCCCTGTGATACATTAAAGCAAAAGATGCCAAGCAAAGGCTACAAGCTTCCTAACAAAGCAGCAGCCAGGTAATGTCTGCGGGGGGAGGAGGTGGGAGGAAGGCATCACCAGTTTCCCTGCCCGTGATTTACAGCACCTTTGACAGCTACATGTAAGGAGCATCAGTTAGTGAATTATTCCAGATGGCCTTGCTGATGGAGGGAGTCTCTCAGCTGCCATGGGGCAGGATTTACAGCCAGTTCAGTTCAGTTCCAACAGCTGCAGGTGAATCCAAGATTGGAGGAGTCAGCCTCACTGCTAAATGATTTCTCCCCAGGTCCCTACTATGGACCTTCCACCACTCACATTCCGTTGGGAATATTTGATGCCACATACACTAGTTCATGCCATTGCATACTTGCTCTTTTCCCCCCTCCTGCAGCACAGTAGATTACAGCGGATGGTTTCCCTCTAAATCAGGTGCATGTGAATCATAGAGCCAAATATGCAATACCAGACAGTGGGAAAATATATTAAATTATATCCTTCTCATAATGTGTCATGGTTACGTCGAGAATGACACACTGTACAGCAGTTGAGCCCACGCTCATTTTAAGTATGTTAAACTGCACCACTTCATGTAGTTTATTGCATACTCAGAGTCTACGCAGAAGTGATTTCTATGGCTAGCAACAATTTTTTACCTGCTTGTCAGGCATGGGACTTTACTATGCCCGATGAATCAGTGCTTTCCATTGAGAAGAAAGCAGGAAGCCTAAACAGCAGTTGGACCATCAGCATTTCCAGCAAGCTCAAGCAATTAGCACGTAAGACTTTCCTACTGCATTTGCATAAAATGCTTTCTTCCCTCTTATATCTCCTTTCCCTATTTTTGTATTTCACTCTTGGATATTAACAACATTCTATAAATACTTGTGAGTATACTCTCCATGACCTGAGAGCATATCAGGAAGCTTTAGGAGAGCAATATTCCACTTTTCAGATTGTCCTCAATGGGTTTTCCTGGCTACTGAGTAAGAAGCTTTCTTGTAAATAAAAGATTTTGGATGCAAACATCCTTTGCATTCAAAGGGAGAAAGCAGTTGTCAATACCTATAGAAATGTGAAATAGTGCTAATCCTTAGAGCTTTCATAGTCTCCAGAAGCAAAGTTGGAGTATGGGGATGTATGTCAGAACTAAGAGGAAATATATGGAAATGAGAAGGCATATTTGAGGCAGAGAGGGCTGATGTCTTCTGGCTGCAGTTCCCATCATGCATGCATGCTGGGAGTCGTAGCAAAAAGAATTATCATTTCTTCCCACATTTGTCCTACAGCAGTCTGTGTCCTGGATTGCTGTGTCTGCCTGGTGATGGAAAAACCAATACAGCTGCACTTTCACTCTGAAATGCATCAAGAGGAAAGACACAGCACAAGGTAACTAAAGTTAAATGCCTGTCAAGTACATGGTAAATCATGAAATGATGCCAGCTGACAGTTAGCTACATCTGGTCCAAAGGACCCACAGCTAGGCAGGTACTGAAATGCTAGATTACCATCTCATCAGCAAAGCAGAGCTAAACTGCTTTTTCAGAGGGGCTGCCTTGTATGATGCATTCATGAGACAATGTGATCTGACAAGTTAGGAAGGGTTTACCCCTCCTCTACTGGTGAAGACTTTTCATCCTACTTCTCGACAGTCAGCATTGATTTGCTGAGCTCAGAATAAGCCTGTGGATGAGAGCTGTTGTGCTCTCATACACTGCATCTGTCTGAGACATTTTTGTCCCCTGTGTCACTTGGGGAGAGAAAATCCTTCTAACTGAGGCTGGAATCCAGTATGGATGGAGATGTCCTGGGCTGGAAAAGGAGAAAAGGAGGAACAGAGCAAATCATAACATGATGATCTGTAGAATTAAACCATCAACACACAGAAACTGTTGCATTATGTAGTGAAGCTAATCCAAAGCGTTGCAGAGCACAGCATTATGGTTGATGGGTTGGTGGTTGCACTAGATGATCTTAGCAGTCTTTTCCAACTTTAATGATTCTATGATTCTATAACTGTGTCTTTTAAGATCAACAACAGGCAGCCCTAATAAGTATGTATCATGGGCAGTGGTGAGCTGGCAATTAAATAAGTAATGGACAAATGGGGCACAGTGAGGGGAAAAACCCTCTTCCCACCTTAACAAATACCGTGGGTAAGTGTGTCTCAAAAAATCAGTTGGGATAACCCTCTTCTGTAAATAAAGCTACATCTGTTACCAACAGTTTTTGGTAATAGTTTTTGGGCTTTGGACAAAAAACTAGAGCTGTATGAAAATAATTTGGGTGGTACAGTGCCATTTAGTGACTCTGTCTCAAGACATTTTCCCTCCAGTGCATCATATTACCAGCATAGAACCCTGCAGGTTCATTCCTCTTTTAATTTGTACAAATCACAAGGAGCACCTTACTAGGATATAATACTAACTGCTTTTCTGAGAAAGTATAGTCTTCAACTCTTAACAGACAATTCTAGATATGCTTCAAGTATCAACTGGAAGACGTCAGGTGAAACAACATTGTATGAGGACATATACAGATAAAGCACCATAGAATCATGGAATCGTTTAGGTTGGATAAGACCCCTAAACTCTTCTAATCCAGCCACCAACTCATCATCACCATGCCAACTCATCATGTCCCTCAATGCCAAATCTACCCAATTTCCGCACTGGCACCTGAAAAAAGAAAACAACAAAACAAACATGAAGAACAGCATGGACCATACATATTTCAATTTCTCAACTGTGAAATCCTGAATGACAGGTAAACAGCGTAACACTTAATCCTTGTTTCATCTCTGGATATTTCTTAAAATGCTTTTTGTTCTGTAACAAGGATCTTGTGTGGAAAGAAACAGGTGGAGCCTGAGTGTGTATACACAAGTATATGCTCATGATGCTCATAGGTTTGGGAGCTAACAGTGATGGGTCTATTTATTTGGGGACAAGGAAAATATGTTTCTACTGGTACCTTCAGGAGCAAATGAGAAGTGAGTGGGTGGGAGATGCAGGGAGTGCATCTGTCTCTAATCATTGATGTTCTAGGTGGCTGAGGGAGTATGTTGAGAGGGATGCTACTGCTTCCATGGCCTAGCATCCATACATTGTGCTGCACGTGCAAGGCAAAGAACCCTCAGCACATATCCTGCCACATCTTGTTCCATTTTCCCAGGTTGAGGCTGTGCAAAATGCATGCTTTAGGCACCTACATAATCACAAGCACTGCAATGATAGGGGCTCAAAAGCAGAAGCAAGCAAGGAAGATGACATGACACACTTCTCCTGATTTGTTTCTAACTGTTTTTTAGTATTGCACTCTAACACACTACTGACCCCCCTACCTCACACACCCAAATCCACAACAGCACTGACTCTTTCACTCGCAAATGAATTAATTCTTTTTAAAAAAGCACTGATGGTCTACTGATAGCTACTTCAGAGGATAAACAGTCTTCTATGTCTTAGTAAGTTGTACAGGCAGACAGGGCCGGGGAATTCTCCGGAGATCCATCACTTGTAGCAATCTGAAGTCTTCAGATAGCTAAAGACCACCTGGAAAGAAGAGCACCAGTGAAGAAAAGGAAGAACACTACACTTGAATTAGCAATGACGATTAGGCAAAAATGCAGCACAAGGAAACTTCCATATGTCTGAATATGTAGAGAAAGGAAGATGAATTTTGATCAAGCAAATATGAACATTTCAGCTAGAGTAATTCACATTGAAGGAAAAAGATCAAAGAAAAACAGTGAAATTAGTCAGCTGAATTTTAATATGTTACTGAGTGAAGTCGAAGGGAACTCTTACAGATGACAGTAGAAACACTTTCTAGAGATCAAAGTTTAGCTAGAGATAAAAGACAGAACAACAAACTAACGTTTTGTACTTTTCTCCCCACCCTGATAACACTTCCTGTGCATTATTTATGAAGAGACCAGTAGGCCTGTTTTACTGGGAAGAATAAGTTAGATGCATCTTTAATGGAGCTCCTTAAATTTCAGAAAGAGTTCCAGTTGCAGTGGTCCCTGCTAACTTTGCTATCAATTTCAACAGCATCAGAATTGGGCACATGGTAAATTTAACAGTGAAAATAAACCAGACACTTTAAGTTCCTTATGGTGTGTCCCAAATAGCTTATAAAACACAAATGCTTCCTCAATCATTAGGGATAAACAAGTCCCCTGGCATTCTAAATAGGATGCAAAGTGTGGATCAAAATGGGTAATAAATTGAATTAATGTGGCAAAGATACAGGCTGATGTCAAACTGATGTTAAGGGACTGACTTATATTGAACTTCTCCTTGGAGACAACAACACAGAGAAATGGTTAGTACTTCATTTCTAACACAGCTACCAAGCAGCCTGTTGCCATGCTACTGTATCTAAGTGGCATCTAACTGGTGCATGTGAAGGAAAATCCTGGTTCCCTCAATGCCAGTGCTCTGTTTGGATGCCAGCAGGAGACTCGCATATGTCAGGTGAGAGATTTCTCTTTCTCCAGCTGTTATTTGGACCAGTGTAAGCTGAGGACACACCTTACAGAAGTATCTCTACCTCTCCATGGCACACTCCTGTGATGACTGCTTCACCCTCTGCATTTGCTCTGTGGGACGGGGGGTGGAACTGAGCCATGTGCTAGATGATGTCTTTCACATCCCTCTGTGCATGAACTCTCATTTTCTGTAGAAGGATTGAATACATTTAGTGCATAAATGTGCCTTCAGGGTAACAAAATGAAGAGCAGGATTTGCCAGATAAAGGTTTACAATAGCAAATTTAAAGAATGCTGGGAAATAATTTGAAAGGGAAGATGGGAGGCAGTAAACAGCTGAAAATGCAGAAAAATACATTGTGGAAAGAATTCAAAGAGGTAGAAAATAAAAATAAATAAATGGTAGCATGAATGAAGGTTAAGAAAATGTTCCTGTTGAGTTATAGGAACAGAATGGCTGTGGGCAGCCTGGTCTAGTGATCCTGCACACAACACAGCAGGGGGGTTGAATCTAGATGATCAGTATGGTCCTTTTCAACCCAGGCCATTCTATAATTCTATGAATTGAAATCATCAACAGACTCCCCTTCATCTGGCATAAGGTCTTTATTCTTTGCAGTTCCTATAGCAGGGACAGTATTGTTTGAGTCCCAGTGTTACAGAAATGCAAGGTCAGGGACCTATCCCCTGGCACAATCAGAATCAGACCAGTTTCATCACAGTCTTTCTCATCCAAATATTCATTTTTTTTTTATGGCTCTAGTGGTTACTCTTCACACTGAAGCAATTATAAAAAGCACGGCGGATATTGAGCAACTCACAGTTTGGGCTGCACTTTCAGATGCCCACATACTCTTCATCTCTCAGTGTTTTGGGAGCAGCTGCCTGGCTGGCTGCAATGCAGATTGCAACACAAGAGCTTGACTGAAAATGACAGCGGTGCTTTTTTATGGATTTCACGAGCAGTGCTTGGAAACACTTCATCATCAGCCCCTCTCTGATGTTTCATGGGTCAGCTTTGGTTCATCCTGAGCCATGTGAATGCCAAATCTTCTCTGGAATTTCTCCAAAGTTAACTGTGTAATCCATACATGGAGAGAGAAAACACAACAGAAAGGAAAATTAGGCTTGGCTTGGCTCCTTATCCAAGATGCTACCAAATCCCTTTCCTGCTATGAGCTGGTCAGTATTTATTCTCAGAGAGTCTCCAGGAAGGGTGAGAAGAGCCGTGACCCAAGCACAGCGGAAGTTGTGACAGAGCTGTTGCTGACTCTGTGCCTGAAGACAGCATGTCAGTAGGAGAGCTCAAATTTAATCATTCTAGGTGCTTTCACAGTCAGTGACCTCATGAAATGCTATCAACTGCATATGACAGCTGCTCCTGTCTCTTCTCACCTCTTCAGTAACAAAAAGCCTTAAAGTGACAAGCTATCTATGCAGAAGATCCAGAAGATCCAGAAAAGAGCTTTTCCCAAGCATTCAGAAAAGTCTAACACCTCCCCATCATCATCTCAACAAAATGTAGTGGGGGGGGGAAAAAAAAAAGATAAAACCCCACAGCCTTCATGGCTACTTTATGGAATAGCAGAAGCTGCTTCTTTGCATGGTCCATGCCCTCACACTTCAGAGGGTTTGGAAGCAAGTGATCAAGGGAAGGGGAAAAGCCATCATACAGCGTAGCTTCCTTCCATAACTATCTAGAAGTGCTGATGGGTTTACAGTCCTATTTAGGCTGGTAACACTGGATATGGGGAAGGCTGAAAAACTCAACAAATTTTTGCCTCACTCTTCTCAGGCAGCTGCTCTTCACACAGCCCTCTAGCTGATGGTCAGAAGGTGGGGACTTGCCCCTTCCACTAAAAGTGATGATCAGGTTTGCAACACCTAAGGAAGCATTCATAAGTTTATTGATCCTGATGAGATGCATCCCAGAATCTTCAGGAAACTGAATGACATATCCATCAAGCCACTCTCAATGATACCTGAAGTCATGGCAGTCAGGACTAGTCCCTGGTGACTAGAATAAAGGAAATGTCACATTCTTTTTTAAGAAGAGTAGGGAGGATGACCCAGGGAACTATCGACTTGTTAGTCTCAGCTCTGTGCAGGGGAAGATCATGGAATAAATGCTCTTGAAAACTATGCTAAGTCATGTCAAAGTGAAGGAGGTGATATGCCATAACCACCATGGCTTCACCAAGGGCAGGTCCTGTCTGACCAACCAGGTGGCCTCCTATGACTGTGTAACTGCATCAGTGGATGAAGGAAGAGCCACTGATGTCATTTATCTGAACTTCAGTAAGGCCTTTCACACTGTTCCCCACAAATCCTTCTCTTCAAACTGGAAAGATATGGATTTGACAGGTAGATGGTTCAATGAATGAGAAAATGGTTGCAAGACTGTACACAGAGACTGGTGGTCAACAGATCAATGTCTGGATGGAGATCAGTGACAAGTGGTGTCTTCAGGGGTCAGTACTGGGACTGATGCTCTTCAATATCAATTACATTGACAGGAGGATCTAGTGCATGCTCAGCAAGTTTGCAGATGATGCCAAGCTGTGTGGTGTCCTCAACATGCCTGAGGGATAGGATGCCTCCAAAGGGACATAGACTAGTGCACATTTCAACTGGCATAGAGCATTCAGAGGAAGGTCTGGAGGATAAATTCATCACGCTCTTGCCAACCTGAAGTAACTAACTAGGGTACATATCCAGCCAGGAGAACTGCAAAAAAGACCTTCACCCTACAGTGGGCTGAGGACAGCTGACACGGATTGATTTAAGTGATATGCCATTAGAAGCTCTTCTGAATGACTACAAGCTATTATGTGGCCTCATACTTAAGCACTTCCAAAATGCATATTATTTAATTGACACAGCATTATAGCCCCTTTACAGCCATTAATTTCGCTCATATTGTGGCAATCTGAATACATACTTGTCATTATGGTACTATCAGTGCATATACACCTACAAGAAAAGGACAGAGAAGCTACTATTTGTGGCATAGAAATGTCATCTCAAATCTAACTGTGCCAGTACAATTTGTACTGCAGAAATGCAAGTCACCTTAATTCTTAGCATGAGTGACTACAGGGATGCATATTCCTAGCATTATGTTAATAACAATTCTTACCACTTCCAGAAATGCACTGGTCCCGTGGTACTGAATATATCAAGGCAATGGCTGCAGTCTGCTGCTATACTTCCCCCAATTTTCTGTAATCTTTCTAGCTGGGTCCCTGTGTCAACCATAAAAGTAGAGGACATCAGAAGAAGTACTGCTACTATTATATTATGACCTACTGAAGAGAGGAAAGCACAGCTATATTTAAATCAATGTTCCATAGAGAGTGTTCTGAGTTGGCAAATAAGTCCTTATACATTTACCTGTCATAAGATTGCCATATATTAATGCAGTAATGGTGATACATTTCAGCAATTTTTTCTTCCTTTGCTGATCACATATTCCTGATTCCTTTTTAGCCTGACTCTCTTTAGATTGCAAATTCCAATTTGCAAGCTTAAAATATAAATTCTGTTTGTGAAGATAAGATTTTGTAAATATTATATCTCCCCTAGAAGAGGAGGAAATTATTTTACATTCTCTTAAACAAATTATTTAGATAATATCAAGTCTGCTCCAGGTTAAAATTTTGGAGATGTAAATACATTTTAATATGCCAGCCTTGTAGCAAGTATATGATAAACATCCGTGCTATTTTAGGCATTTTAGAAGTTGTTATGTTTCAGCAATACTCAATAGCAGAACTACTGCAGCTAGAAAAGCCAGACTGGATTGTAGAAAGAGAAATGTAACAAATAAACGGAACGTCTTAAAACAGATATCCAGGCTGCATGTATCTTGAAGGGCACTGAGGGAGTTCCCAACCTCTTCCTGCTCTGTTCAGCTCAGAGGACCAGCTGCAACACAGCCTGCCCTTACAGTGGGTGAAAACAGTTGGAAGTATTGCTCTGGTGACATAAGGCAAATGGGGACAGGATGAGGAAGGTTTAGAGCTGGAAGACATAAAAGCTACAGTTAAAGGACTGGGTAATTTCTGGAAGATAGCAGCAACTCCTCATTTTCACATTTTGACTCATTTAAACCTTGAAGAGAAGGAAGAGAAAAGGCTGGGGCTATAGATTCAGACTCACCAGGCTTCCACTGAGCTCCATAGGAGCTGGGAGCTAAGAGCAGCTGTGCCCACCACAGTGAGACAGAGGGGATCCTGCCAGCTCTGTTCTGATGCCACACCAGCAGGGAGAAGCCAACTGTGTCTCCTGTAAGAGCATGACCTGCCACAGTAAGAAGCAGTGGCTCTGCTGAGCTTTCAATACTCTGGAGCAAAGAAACCAAACTGCCTGGCTCTCTCAGCACTGAGATATCTCCAATCAGCTGGTTGGCAGAGTCTTCCCTTGCTGAGAGCCAAAGGCTTTTGAACTACAGCCACTGGTGAATTCCAGGCTAAATGTTGTTGTGAGTACCAATATCTCCCTGTTACTGCTGAGTCCTAAATTCATTAGAAACTTCCACTCAGGAAGTCCTTGCTTTATCTGTCAAGGTACAGCTGAGATCCAGGCAGCCTTGCAAATTAGAGTATGCTGAGTAATGCTGGCTTTTTGGACTGGTGTATTATTGCCATGGAGGGAACCAACCTTAGCCACTGTAGCTGTCAGCAGCTACAGGCCTGACCCTTCTCCAGACTGGACTGCAGAGTGGGTCTGGTCTTTTTCAGCATCTTCATCACCTGGATAAAGGGATAGAATGCACCCTCAGCAAGTTTGCTGATGATATGAAGCTGGGAGAAGTGTCTGATTTCTTTACCACGAGGGTGACGGCACTGGAGCACATTGCCCAGATAGGTTGTGGAGTCTCCTTCTCTGGAGATTTTCAAAACCTGTCTGGACTCTTTCCTGTGTATGTGACTGTAGGGAACCTGCTTTAGCAGGGAGTTGGACCTGATGATCTCCAGAGATCCC